GCTTGCTCAAATTCGTTTCGATATACTCATTTCCTTTTAAAAGCTTTCTTCAAATGTTCAAGTTCTCGGGAAGACACGTAAATAAGTTGGGCCATCTCAACTAACGTTTTTATTAACCCTCTCTTTTGTCGTGGTTCATAGCTGGATCTCTATATATATATATATATTAGGGAGATGGAATAGTCATTTTGGTGAAGGACGACTTCGAGTTCTAGGAGAAAATCTAGTATTGTGACACTATATAATATAGCTATATGAAGCATAAATAGTATAAACAACCTAACCTAATCAGACCGAACCTTTCTACCCAACTAACTCACAACTAACTAACCTAACCAGACCGAACCTTACCTAACCTTTCTACCCACAATATTTATGAAAAATCGATTTTATTTATAGTATTTCACTTTTAAATCAATAGCAACACGTCTATATAGTCTTAATAAGGGGTCAGCTCTATATTTATATAGTGTGTCGCACTACTAAACTTTACCCAAGTTCTATTAGTTCCTTGGATCTGTTGTGGTGGTCATTATTCACGGCCAACCATCAAATCTCCACTCTTTTACGAACATCCAAAAACGTGATACGGAATGAGGCACAGGGTATTTACGAAATACCATGCCCTACCTGCCTTAGAACTTACATCGGCCAGACCAATAGAAAGATCTTCGTACGAATAATCTTACGAAAAAACAGCAAACCCAGGTAATTCCGCGCAGAAAGTTGAAATAAAACCATCAGGCACCTGTGCAACGTCTTCCATTTGGAATATTAGTCGCAAGTAACATTCTATATATGAAAAGCTGAAATTCATTTCATTTGGTTGGGATGACCACCGACAGACCGGATTGGGAGTATTAGCTCCTCGTCAGTGACGAGTGGGTCATTTCAGATTAATCGAACTGTCTGAATATTCCGAAGAGAAAAAATTAATTCCAACTAGTCATAATCTCTGCCTTCAGTTGATTCAATAGGTTTTTATCACTGCGCCACCTGCAGACAAAGTCCGGAAGCATCTCCACAATCACACTCCGGGGTGGAAGTCAGTATAATAACCATATTCCGGAGAATACCCAAGTTCAAATGAAACTATCAAACTCTTGCTCCTCATGTGAAACCTACGATTTTGTAGATATGTGTTGCAGATACTTTCATCCCTGCACCCTTCATTCTTCCATTTTTTCAGGAACCAGTACTTTGAGCGGAGTGGGATATTGAGACAAAACCACTTGACACCGACTATGGCCGAATAAAGTTGTGAATAAAAAGCACCCAATTTCACTTATAGAGTCATCTCTCGTGCTCGCTTTTTTGGTGAATATGCACCTTAAAAGGTATAAAGATACATATACACATTTACTGCCTATTCCATTTATTAAAGCAATTGACCAGTTTACATGAAAAATGTATAAACTTATACAAAGTATAAAGGCTCGATAAAACACTATATTTAATTTCTACACTTAGAGTGTATGCTTATTTATAAATGGCACTTAGTTTGGTATCGCATGGAGCCAGAAATAAATNCTCATTCCATGGTTATCTAACATCTTTTGAAAGTACTAGCTGCAGGGAATTCATTCATTCCAACGTTCTTGTGTGTAATACTAAAATCAGTTGAAAGAATGTTTTGAATGTTTTTGAACGAAAACCCTCACTAAGGTGAATTTGAAAAAAAAATCTCATTTGATAATCTAATATTGGGGGTTGTTCACTGAATGATTTGTTGCACATTTACTATAACAAATATGAATATGCAAGTGTAGCGAGTGTCGAATTGGTGAAAGGTAAGTAAGACTGCAAATCACATTTTGACAATCTCAACTTTCTTATCATTATTTAATCATCTTTTGTAATGTTGGGCCATAGTTCTATGACTGTATTTTTGAAATTAAAATTAACACTTTGGATTCATTGTTTTGAAGCCTTTATACAAAATTCAAGTACAAGTTACTCAACCTGCATTAGATATAAAGATATTTCTTTGAAAACTAGGTAAATCACTGATACAAACAATATAGGTTGGGGCGCCAGAATGAACCCTCCAGGAACACTGCGAAGAAATAATTATGAATGAAAGAACACAACACAATAGAGATTTTGCTAAATAAAATTCGTGAAAAACAAGCCAGTCTTACCTCTTCAGTACTGCCCTGCTTAACAACCCCATAATCGATGGCTCCTGGTCTGATAGCATCAATAAGATCGATTACTACTTTAGCGTCGGATATTGAGGTATCTTGAAAGTTACGAATGGAAGACTTTTTTCCTGCGCTGTTGAGTTTATTGTTGACCCAAGTAACAATTTCTTTCTCAACGATAGGACTTCCCGATTCGGCAAGCTGAGTGAGAATCGAGAGAGTGTATGCTCTCATTAACTGCCATATGAGAGCTAATGTAAGGGTGACATTGCCTTCGTTGATGTCCTGACCACCAATCCCTACAAGAGAGAATTTGATTTCTTTCCCGAGTTGAACAGCATAGTTGCAGTTTTCAAGTTTCTCCATGAATTTCTTCCGTTCGTTGGTAAATTTGCGGTGAACACGATTCCATTTTACAGTTCCCGGTTTGATTATGTCATATAGTTGGAAGACAACCAAGCCGTCGGCGAGATCGCTGTACAGCCAGTTCACATGAGGGGAAACACCCATGGAATTGATCCAGTTTCTGTAAGCTACGAGAAAATGTATAATTATTCCTAATCCACTAAATAAATCAATCAATCAAAATTTATTCATCACCAGAAACTATTGAACATTTTATTAATATAAGAAAGACAAGAACTTATTAAACTAGTCAAAAATTATGAGTTCAAATTAAAAATCGACATTTGTTACATCAATACTATATATAATCATTAGGTTACAAATTAAAATGGCTACAATTCTCATTCCTAAACATTCGACTTCCCATTTTAACAATTAAATAAAAAAATCAAATCGCTCTTTCTCACATTGTTATATGTCGTTCTGCAATTCTCTAGCAAATTACTCTCTTTGCTAGTGATAAACCGTTAGTACTATATATGTTTTCCTTTTTTTCTGTTGCGTTAATGATGCATTGTATTGTAAATTGTCTTAATGTGACGTTATTTCTTCTAGAATGTGGGGCACGTTTGATTTCTTACGCTCCGGCCGTGAAAATCTGTCAAAATATGTTTTTCCGTTAATCACCTGTCGCCCTTCTACGAACGACAACCCTTTTGCCCCCACAAGTGTCCTATAGTGACAGTACTTTTAATAAGAGTCGGTTGGAGCATAGTGTTTTTACGTAGGACGAATATTCCAACATTTTATGACATTATTTAGGAATTTGCCCTAATGTAAACAAAAATCCATTCTGGTAACCAAAACAATAACTACCAAAGTCAAGAACAGAATTGTTATTGCAAGAGGCTTAAGATCGATGTTACCAATTTTTTCAAGAGATCTGTAAAAAGACGTATTCAAGATGTTAGCAGAGCAAATTCGTTAGTTTTTGATCAATATTTTGTTATAGATAATAGAAAATCCAAAGTATCTCAAAAGCTATTGCAATTCTTCCAATACCCCCAAAAAGTTCTAGTTCGAGTATACAGTTATTTCTCGTGTGTTTCTATACAAAGTGGCCTGTCGAAAAATAGGTACACTCCTAAATTTTCTCAAGAAGGAGCAATTGAAAAAAGTAGTAAAATAAGATGTAACCAACTGAATCAAATTACAAACACTTTTCCCTTGTTTAGTTTAGAAGATATTGATGGTTTGATATTTTAATAAAAAAAAAATTAATTTACAAGCATATTGCTCACAATTTAAAATCATTTCAAAATGCCACTACAGAAATTTTTCAAAAAACAATTATTTTTAGTGCACAAGAAACAAATTTTTTTTTTTTTTTTGAGAAAATGATGACTATGCCAGTGACAACACTTTTTTGAAAAACTGTTTGGAGGAGTTTGAAACTGCTAAATCAATCTATAACAAGTAATGAATTTAATTACCTGTGCTTACTTACCAGTTTCCATATTTGAAAAAAATATTCAAAAACGAGAAGTTATTGAATTTTAATTGATCATTCAGTATATTACCCGAATTCTTAAATCTATTGATTTCTAAACATTCTAGAAGATTGAGTTTCAAACTTTTCTCTTCTAAATGTCCTTCTACTAAAAGGTGGTTTCCACATTTGCAAACCACCTTGAAATGTAGGTACTTCAAATTGTAGAATAAGGTGTATTTAGCATTGAATATGTAGAATTAGTTAGTGAAGACACGCCCGAAGAAGCCATTGTATGGCGAAACACGTTTTAGTTTTTGTAAAAGTGTTTAGTGAAAATCTCACAATAAGGTGTTTTTTGAATACATTCGATATAGAGGTTAGTATATAGATAGGGCATACTTTTTGAATGAAGATCAATGGTCACTATGAGTTTCTCAAAATAATAATATTTAACAACTGAATTGATACCCAATTGGAGGATAACACTTATTGTTAGATTTTCACATAACAGTTTACAGGGGTCAGTGTTGGGTCCACTACTATAAATTCTTTACACTAACAATGTGCCTGAAGTTGTTGATGAATACATGGTTCAGTATGCCGATGACTGATCTGTGGTTTTCAGTTCAACCATCACAACTACCTAGAGGCAAATATCTTTTTCAAGCTAAAGATTCTGGAGGAGTACTTTACATCACACAATCTCAAACTGAACAAAAACAAGACACAAATCATATATTTTACCCAAAACGGCACAAATAATAATTTTAGTGATGGTGTAACTATTTTAGAACCAGTGACCCAACTTTCCTTTCTTGGAATTATAATTGACTCAAAGCTGAAATGAAAGAGCCACATAGATAAAGTGGCAACAGAAATGTCAAGGTACTGCTATGCCCTGAAAATAATTACACAAAATATATCCACTGAGGCTGCGATGTTAGCTTATAATGGTTATATTCAGAGTCACATCAGATATGGTATTATGTTCTGGGGAATGTCTGCACATACACAAAAAATATTCGTATAGCAAAAACGATGTCTCAGAAAAATATTCAACCTTTCTCAGAGAGAAAGCTGTAAATAAATTTTCATAGATAAAAAAATATTAACACTAACAGGTCTCTATATTTATGAATCTATGGTATTTGTCAAAGAAAATATATCTCTTTTTGTGACTCATGATTGGAACCATACCCACAACACACGAAACAAAAATAACCTTTTGAATATAAAGACAAATTTGACCTATCTTCAAAAAAATATACATTTTTCAATCATTAATATTTATAACAAAGTACCTGAATCTCTCAGAACTTTGTCTTCTTAATCATGAAGAATAAATTGAAAACTTTGCTTCTCTCCAAAGCTTATTATTCGCTGGAAGAATTCTTCAGTGATAATTTAAACTGAATATTTCATGTCGTATCATTCTGCATTGTGATGTAGTTTAGTCTCTTTTGAACTCTACATATAGATGTATATGTTCGTGTTCTGTATCTAATATAACAATATTACAATTAAGTATATTGACTGTGATAACCTTGTTATTCATACATCTGTGGCCATTTATATTCTTAACCAATATTAATGATATTGCCTCATGATTTTTTACTACTTCTGTAATGTTTACTGTAACTGACATTTCTACACCTGAAAATGATTTTTATTACACAGAACTAATAAAGGATAACTATCTATCTAAGATTTGGTTTTTATCAAAGCGATGATGAAATTCCAACAAAAAAAACTTACTTCTCTCCTCTCTGGTCTCCTCGATGGTTTCATACCCGTCAATAGCACCATTGGTCTGCTCCAATCCTGGGTGGTTGTTGAACAGATTAGCTACAAAAGCCAAGTTAAGTTTATAGACCCCATTGACAACATCTTGTGGAGTAACAAAAGACCTGCACTTCAACTTTGCTGCTTGCTGCAGCATAATCTCGGCTCTACTGTGCAAATCCTTCTCATAGAGAGCTTCGGTATTGACATCAACATCAGAGGGAGCGATCTGTTTGAGAAGGTATGTGTACACCTCTGAGTCTACGATGTCGCTCTGGAAATTATTGACGCGTCGGTGAGTTCCAGCTCTTTCCAGGTGATAGTTTACCCATCGCAAAAGGATCGCCTCTGGAGAGAGTTTCATAAGGTCGTCGATTTTTTCATCTTCCGAGAGCAAAGTCGTCAGTCCTGGACAGTGCTCTAATGTAATCTGGTTGAACAGACCTATTCTGATGATCTGCCAAAGCAGTCCTAGCACCAAGTGGGGTGTGCCGCTTGATAGATTGTGTGCATCAATGTTCACAACATTACAACCGATAGCAGAGGCTGAGGACAGAGCCAAAGTGAGGTTTTCAAGTTTCCTGTAGAGAGTTAGTTTCTCTTTGTTGACAGCTCTCTCGTCTATGGTGTCTGGGCAAGAGTGGTTGATCACTTTGCTGTAAAGAAGAGTCATTTTACAGATGTATCAGAAATGAGATAGGCAACTGGAAACTATTATGAAAAAAACTTATATTTGGACGAGTTCAATATTATCAACGGGAAAAATATGTACCTTGTACCATGAGAGTGAAACAGTCAATAATATTCTCTCAGCTTCTTTGGTCTTTGGCCATTTCATTGAATTTTTGTTTGTTTCAATAATCTAATAAACTACTAAGATATATGGATCTCATTCTTCTTTATTCATTGGTCAATTTTCCAGAATATTTTTTGTATTATTTTCTAGGCTCAGTTGAAACATTAGAAAATTTTAAATTATGCACATTACTATTGCTACACTCAATGTACGATCACTATTTACTGGATTTGATTTTTTTAAATACACAGTTCTTAAACACAATTTTAACATTATCATCATAGAAACATAGTTTGCTGCACACTTAAGTTCGGATTTAATCAATATTGAAAGGTACTATATAATGAGACAAGACCAAAATGAAAGTTTTATCAAAAAAACATTAAAAAAAATGTTTTGATGTTTGACGTATTTTTGAATTGAATATTACTCCATTTTTTATTGTTGTTATGAAGATCTAGAGTAATAAATCTCATCTACACTTTATCCCTGAATATGAAAATATTCATTATAGAAATATTGGAAATATGGTGTTATAGAAATACACTTTACTGTTTGCTGCTTTTCCCAGAAAGTTTCCAACATTCATATCCCAACTGGTCAGCAGAGACCACCCTTTTACTATATTTACTATATGCCATTTCCTGTTTTATTTTCCTTTTGGCTTAGAAACATTGCGAAATTAAGTTTTTATTTCCCCTTCATGATTTTATGTCAGTTCTACTTTAATTTTATATTACGTTCTAAAAAAGTTATGCCCGTTTTAATGCCATGTGTTTTTTAGCTCCATATCTCACTAAATATTTATCCTACTTTGTCGTGAGGTTTCAGTTAGTAATAATAATTATTAACTGCTTCAAAGTGAAGTAGAATATGACCCAATCTTTTCAGAGGAAATTCAAAATGATTTTACTTTCAAGTACACATGGCGATGCTACTGTTTTCTGATAACTAATAATTGTGATAAAAATGATTTTGTGATTAGACATGGCATTTTTTTCTGAATTTCATATCATGCTGAGTAGGTTTTTTATTCCTTACTTTTTATCATAATCTGAGTCGTTATCGAAAACAGAAACAATATTTCAGAAAAACGCAAGAGCAAAGGCACAGTTTTTCGGTATTTTTGACTTCACCAGTTCCACAACTAGTTGACAAAAATTTTTAGACGGCATGGAAGCCCTTTTAGAATATTTTTTGACTTTCCAAATTCCGATTTGTATTTTTGTAAAGAAACTTTCAAAGACATTGGCTGTACTTCATAGATTTTACTTTTTAAGTATCCACACAATAAAAATCAAGGGGCCATAAATCTGGTGACCGTTTGTGGCCTTAAATGCTGTCTCTTCTCCCAATTCAGAGCCATGTAAAATGTTGAAAGCAGGTTAGCAGACTTCATTTATATTAATTCCATTTTCCTTTCGATTGAAACTCTGTTTTTTTTTCAAAATTATTTTGTAGTCTTGGATAGTGACTATCAAGTTTTGTCAAGCAGTTGGGTCTCTTCGAATGAAAAAACGTGGGTGCCTTCTCTGAGTGCATGTTCTGCTCTTGCTGATTTGTCGGTAGGGCTGAGGTGACAATTTCTCTTGTATTGAGAGTCAGGTACCTATACTTCTTTTCGTGGTTCTAATGTAGGTCGAACCGCTGCTACAAGGATTCCGGTATGCTCCCGGAGTTGCTGAAGGCTTTCCGGGATCCTTGGCTGACTTTAATTTTTTTCTGAGAGTTTTTATAGGCTTGAACATCGAGTTTCATTGTGTTTCTCCAGAATTGTCCCATAACATTTTCAAAGAAGGGAAGAAAAGCTTTTTCATTGACGGGCCTACCTGATGTTATCTTTCCTGGGTCGTTTTGCATGCTCAAATTTTCTCTGGCGGTTTTTGTTGGCTTGAATATCGGTTTAACATCGCGTTTTTCTGAAATTATCTCAATACAGTTCATGGCAATTGTAAAGTAGGGGAGGGAAGCTTTTTTATTGACGGGCCTATCTGATGTTATCTGTCCTGGGTCGTTTCGCTTGCTCAAATTCGTTTCGATATACTCATTTCCTTTTAAAAGCTTTCTTCAAATGTTCAAGTTCTCGGGAAGACACGTAAATAAGTTGGGCCATCTCAACTAACGTTTTTATTAACCCTCTCTTTTGTCGTGGTTCATAGCTGGATCTCTTGTTCAGATATCTATCTGTATGTTTTGGTTTCCCTCACAGTGTGTGCTCCATCTCATCTTACCAGTCTATTCAAGAAGACGATTGTTCCTTAGTTTTACCGATACATTGTTCTTTTCACTATGTGTCCATATCATAAATTTATTATCAAGCCAGCAATATAGTTTCATGGCCACTTGCTCTGAGGTACGTTGTTAGAGTTAGAATTAATTCATGAAAAAGTTTTCCACCAGGGGACTTGAAGAGATGTTCATTGCGATGCCATCCACTGTTCAAATAAAACATTGTATCACTGGATAGACTTCGCCAATCAGCTCTATAGTATTTTTGACCGGAACTATTGTTTGAAAAGAAAGTATGATGAAGCTCATTAGTATAACTGCGTTTTTTGCTACAATTCTGATGCCGAAATGATTATTTTGGTCGCTGTTATGATGCTAGCTTTTATGAACAATAAGAACAGAATGTGTGCAATTAATAGGCTACGCAGATGACTTAGTGAGCCTAGAGACATAATGATAAATATGTTGGAAGAAGTTATTATAGAGGAAAATGAATTGGACCTGGTGAAAAACAAACAGAAAACCAAATTAGGATTGGGGAGCACTCTTTCGAAGACGTGGAGAAATATAAATATCTTGGGGAAATAATGGCAAAAGATGGAAGTAGGGAAATGGAGATGGAAGAAAAAATTATACAAGCCAACAAAAATTTATGTAAATGTTAATAGAAAACTACTTAAAGTAAGGAAATTTCAATTAACACTAAAATGAAAATGTATAGAACAATAATGAGACCGTCAATAATGTACGCAGCAGAGACTATGTCAATAACTAAGAAAGATGAAGAAAGACTAAGGGTGGCAGAAAGAATACTGCGAACAATAATGGGAACAATATTGAAGAAGACATAATGGTGGCAGGAAGAAGAATAGTGCGAACAATAATGGGACCAATTAAAATTAATATAAATTAATACAGAAGAAGAATACACAGGGAAATTGTTGAATAATGTAGAAAAAATATAGTCTTAGAAATCAACAAAGAGCCAGATAGCAGTGATGCATATTGAGAATGAAAGAAGAGAATGTAGTGGAATGATGACGGATTGGGAACCAGTGGGAAGAAAAAGAAGAGAAAGACCTAGATCTAGCTATTTCCAAAGTTTCTTAAAACGAGTAAACAAATTTTCAGAGGAACTTTAACGACTCATTGCGTATGCATATGAAGCTATTACTCACTTACCACAAGAGAATGCCATCTTTGACTTTCTCGTAAAGGTTCCTGCCTTCGGAGTCGATGGGTAGTAGTTTCCGCAAATCTGGATCGTGCTGCAAATTGGAATTGATCCAATCGGAGAAAGCCAACTGCTCCTCGACTCTAACGGAATGTGTAGTGCCTTCGTTGGAAGCTTCCGATGTCCCTCCTAAATGCTGCAGGTTTTCTCTTTTTGATACAGCCGTTCGGAATGTATTCGCTACGTCATTAGCCTTGAGATCACAGATAAGTTTTTCGAATTCTTCATACGTCAATCTGCCGCTGATTTTGGTCTTATTGGAATTCTTGAACTCTTCTTCGATGAGACGCGACTGGTAACCGGCTATTTTCAGTCCGCAGGATTCCAGGGCTTCTCTGAGTTCTTTTAAGTCTATGTGGCCGTCCCCGTTTTTGTCAATCTGGAATAAAAACTGTTATCAGTCCAGGGTTCTAGCACTATAACAATATTTGGTGGTATGCACATAATATGCGTAGAATGCATCATTAGCACATGCATTTACTTTGTTTTTTTTTAAACAGACATATTTTATATAGCTAAGAATGAGAGTAAAATCATTTGCTCAAGTTTCTGCATTTCATCCCATATGCATCGGCCTCTTGGTTACTAAGCAAATTTTTGGCACCAACATTTAGGTAAAAATACAATTTTTCTCTTCTTTGAGAATTGTGAGTGTAAATCCGGTTGATTTACCTCTAGATTTTTGCCAAAAATGCATTCACATATTTTTTACTAGCTACAAGGTTCTGATTACTGAAAGTGGAAATTCGTCATTATCACCTCAAACTTCAATCATTTATTTTGGTATTCAATATTATTAGCAAGTGCACTATGAACAATTCTAATTATTTGTAATTGTCTTGAATGGAATAAATGATACATCTTGAGGCGTTCATGGCGTACCCAGGAAAATGTGACTCTCAACTCAGAAATGAACGTGTAATAAAAATTTCACCATGTCAGGTTTTCTTTCGAGGCTTTACCTCACATTTTTAATGGCTTGATGGGCTGAGTGATACATCTCTTTATCAGCTCTGTAATTTTCTGTATTGAAAATTCGCTCTCAATTCTTTTATTGGGAATAATTGTAGGCTAAACATAAACTTTTGATTTCAGGTGTCTCTTCATCGCATCTGCCAATTCATCGCACTGGTCAACGTTCATCCAAAAACTGTCTCAGGCGACGGTCGAAAAGTGGGGGTGCACCGTCCTGAGTTGTTTCTAGTAAATTGACATCGATTTCTAAAATTTGAGCAACCAGTGGATCAACACATTCTTATAATAGATTCAAGAATGTATTTTCTTTCAGATTACATTCAATACAGAATGACTCGATAATATGATTGTCCAGAATTCCGACCAAACAAGAGGAAGATCAAACAGTTTGATCTTCCTCTTGTAGATGATCACTTGGTGGTCGAAACACGTGTCGAGGTGTTAAATTAACGGTTTGGTGTTGGGAAAAAACTCCAGTAATATTCATTATTATACCAAAGGTTCAAACAGTGCATCACAACTTCTATTCTTTCTTTGAAAAAAAAAGGAATAGTAAACAAAAGTACGTATATAACTTCATAGATTTTACTTTTTAAGTATCCACACAATAAAAATCAAGGGGCCATAAATCTGGTGACCGTTTGTGGCCTTAAATGCTGTCTCTTCTCAATACCTGATTTTGTGTAAAAATATCAACAGATTAAAAAGTGAAGAGTTATTATAGGAAGAGTTTTTTCCAAGTCGTATAAACTACAAAATTTGACAAAAAAATTGAATGTCTCTGGTTCCACAGCCATTTATACTTTCATGTTGAGAGATGGCCATGAAAGAAAAACTGAGAAATTATCAAAACGTAATTGAAACGTGGTGATCATTAATAGAAATTGCACGTTAAAAGGTGAGGCGTCGTTAATCCTTAATTGACATAAGTTTCAACTTTCGAGGGTAGTCGTTCGTATGGGGATAATAGCTCGTAAATGAAAACACTCATTTTAGCCAATTCATATTATTGGAATCAACTGAATCTGGCATTATATTAGAAAATATTAGTATATAACCGAAGAGTGGTTTATTTTCATTTGTTTTTCAATTGTGAATGAATGATAAAGAAAATTCAGATATCGATTCTGTTGGAATCAACCATGGTGAAATAGAAACCTTCGATAATTTTTATACTATCCAATTTTTATTTCACCCTGTGTTATGAATGGGCAGATAAAGTAACCTCGCTGATTGCAAGGTAACCTTAGTTGCCGTAGTTTTGCACTTAATTTAGTCTAACGATGTTTGTGGCGTTTTATAATTACAGATGAGTTGAGTTGTACTAAACTTTGTGCTTTGTTATGATGATTACAAAATGTATTTCATCAGTTCGGACTTCCATTGTCTGATAAAATATAAATTGATTTTTTTTTCAGGGATTTCAAATCAATTTATATTACATTAGACAGTGGAAGTTCGAACTGATGAAATACACCACGAAACATTGTCAAACACCTTCAAACAAATGATTACAAAATGTTTATAAAATAAATGATTTAGTCGACTCGCTTACTATTTCATTTGTATTGCCAGAATTACGATACCGCAAATATACTAAAAGGAACCTCAATTCATACCAAAGCTAAAACTCTGTTGAAAATGAATTTTCAAAATTAACACTATTTGTAGTCTGGTTAGACGTGTTAGTCCTATGGTTGCTTAGGATGAAATGTTCTCTGCTGAACAGAAATGATATTCTCTTGAAATTCTCTTCAAATTAAACATTCGACTGTGACTATAAATGATTTTCCGCTGACAAATCAACTCACTTTTGAGATCAAGTGAGTTGATCTCAAATCTCTAGTGTAAAATCAGATAAAAAAACAATGACAAAAATTAATTTTTCAAAATACTCTTACATTCTTCACTTCATCAATTCTTCGCGGATGTTCGCTTCTTATGTACATACAGTTTGTATTTTCTCCACGCATAAAAATCTAGAGGGGTCAAAAAGCTCGACATTTTGCTGGCCGCGGTAATATCGATTTCTCCCAAATCGCGTATCCATTTGTAACTAATGACCCGAAACGTAACCACGAACACGTTACGTTACCATTAGTGGGGACGGATTAATGTTGTATTTTACCTCGTCTCCACTAGCCGTGACGAGAAATACTCGCGGTTACGTTACGGATGATTTGTTACAAAATATGTATACACGCCTTTAGAACAAAACTATTTCGGTAGATCTTATGCAATATCTCCAGTACATTATCCTTATTAGAAAATGTTCAGAAGCTGATTCAACAAAAGCATTCAGTTCGTTATCGAATAATGAAACTCCTTTGTGAAAAGAGAAAACTGAAGTAAAATTAGATGTCGTTAGAAAGACAAGAGTAGTCCTATTAATATCCAGATAAGATGACTAATAGGATGCATTCAGACTTTTTTCCTTCGGGATTATCCGAAATCAAAGGTGTACTTCTTCACGTCATAGTTCACTGAGGAGAATTGCTTGTGCAGTATTACCTGGCAAAACTTTTTAATATCAGAAAAAATGTCACATATTTTCAGTGAATTTGATTTAGTATTGTCTAACACTATCAAACTATCATCGTAAGGAAAAACAGTGTCAATCGTACAACTATTAAACAAATTGGCAACACAACAAATAAATAGAAACCTTCTACAATACATTTCAACGCCGTATATGTTTGTAAAAATATCACTTAGCCGTAACTAAACTCCATCCGCTCAAAAGCAACGTTCTTACTTCTCAAATATCGAAATCACAAAAGACAGTCGACATAATGGAAAAATGAATGGCTTATCTCAGGCCAACGCATTTGAGGAATTCCTAGTGAACCGGAAGAACTCCGATATTGACGGCCATTTTATAGCTTAGTAAGAAAGAAAATAAAGATACATATAGGTCGTTATTCCAATATTTATGACGGCTAAGCTCTTTGAGACTTCCTTAATTTTCAATGCTTTGTTTAATATTTAGAAGTTTACAAATACATTGAAAATTTAATCATGAGTTAGCTCCTTACATAAATATTCTACACTCGAACGACGCGACTGTTCAGAATGCAGCAGATCTCAGGGTTTAAGGGTTGTAGGTTGACTGATTAAAAAACGATGATTGCCTTCACGAAAATGATACAAAAACACTTTGTAAATTACACCTGATGTTCGTCGTGGTAAGGCTGCCAAAGAAATTTATCGAATGCCGGCTCGAAAAACTAACCGGGTTTTAGTATTATTTGAATTGTCTGATACGATGCGCCACCGCTAAAGGTTTACAAATTGATGAATGCCTGAATAATCGGTGGTATGTCACCCATATAGACAAGGAAATTTTATGATTTGTTACAAGAATATACAGATAACTTCGTATACGAGATTTTTTTGAAATATAACAATAAAATAACAGAACTTGTGTTGCACTGTTTAGAACCTTTCGATTAGTAATGAATATTACTGGAGTTTTTTCCCAACACCAAACCGTTATTTTTAACACCTACACGTGTTTCGATCACCAAGTGATCATCTTCAAGAGGTGATTGAAACACATGTCGAGGTGTTAAAAATAACGGTGTGGTGTTGGGATAATACTCCAAGCAGTAATATTTAAAATAACAGAAGTTTTGAATGCAACCACATAGTTGGGTTTAGGACTGAAACGAGCTCCTCACAAATGGAGACAACTCGAATCAGGTTCAATTCTTTCAAACAGCATCATTACATAATAATCAATATGACATGACCATTACATATCAAAGTGATCTATACAAACAATTCAGAAACCAAAATGAAGTTTCGTAGCCGTGGTAGTGGATGGACGTGCCGATAAAGTCCGTCCAGAAATAAGGTACGTGGATGCCACGTGCTATCACGGGGCTGCTGTTTATGTTGTGATTGTCTGTTGTGCAAAGTCATCAATATGTCAAAGTTTATGCGAAAGTTTAGGCAAAAATGTAAAGTGAGGGCCCCCTTTATTCACGCCGGTATCCAGGCTGGGGTGGTTCGGATAACCACGTGAAGGGGGCCATGTATGTGAATTTAAAAACCCGAAGGTCTCCCGAAGAGGAGGCTACTAAAAAATATATGTGGAAAAAATCAAAAGGCGACAATAAAAAAGTTGCATTGTTTTCATCAAAAAAAAGTTCGACAAAAAAGGGGTGGCAGCATTGCTTCGAGCAAGACCGCTGCCACCCCCTCGACGAAACTCCTGTCATCTTTGATAGGAGGAGCCTGGACAACTGTGTCCGAGTGGAAAGCAACGTCCAACAAAATTAGAGAAATAGAGAGAAACAAAAATAACAAAATTTAAAATCTACCATACAATGAAGACAAGTAATGAACAAGAGGATATGTACAAAATTTTTAATATATGAAATTCACAAAAACAGGTTTTCT